TAACTGGAAAAAATTCCCCCCAATTAACCTGGTAATTTATGGATATAAAGTAATTGACTGGCACAATTTTTACACACACTATTTTTTATATTATTTATATTGTCCCCCTAGGGTCACTTGCGCTGTCATAAATGTATGCCTTTACATTTGTCTATACATATATATATATACAATAATTTTAGGCGGGAATAGAATAGTCATATGATGTTAACAATGAGAAAAAGAACTGTGTACAAAAGAAGTCTGTCAATATGTACAATAAGCATAATATAAATTATCAGTTTCTTAAAATATACTACATCATATTATTTACCACAATATTGGCTGGAATGGTACCTGGTTGGAAATTATAGCTGCGGGATAAACGAATAATAATTCATGCTCACATATCATTTTTGTGTAAAAAAAATAATAAGGCACAATTTTGATTATAGATTATGAACACAAGGTAACGGACCAAATAAATAAATAGTGTGTGATATTCGGATAACAACATTTTTACCATCTTCAGACCAAAGTACTGAATACTGTGCAAAAAAATGATAAATGCTCTTGTAACTTAAGATTAAAATGCCACCCCTAATCAATATTGGGGGAGCTCAAACTTCTGAAGCTCCTTTTATTTAAAATATGAAATTCTGTTATACAAACTACATCTTCACAAGACAAGTCCACAAAAAGTTAGCTGGAAACAACCTATATCAAAATGCAAAAAGTAAGCATAACCCAAAGAACTTATTAGAGGAACATTTTTTTGAGTGCATTAACCCTACTTCAGTCATTTACCTCAGAATACTCCATCTGAGTCCCTAGGGTGGTTTCATACTGTCAAGAATCTCCTTGAACACTGTTACTCCTTTTAAGGAATAATCAAACAACTTCCCTGATTTCTATTACTATGGATAATAAATACAGAATCAACAGTAATAAAACTGGAGTTGGAATAAAATAATTAACTGACTGATAATTCATTAGCAGGTTAAAACTACTAAAGGCAACAATTTGAATTTCTGAAATGTCACAAAATCTGTATTTAGCTGTCTTCATCTTTCTGGTATACTGTCTCAATGGACAAATCAGATTCTAATTCTATGGTCATTGGTTTATCATCTGTAAATTACAGTTCTGGTGTGTATGAAGGAGGTTGACTAAAATAGATTGCTGATTAGCAACTTCTTCATCTCTGCTGCTACCTTCACTTGGTAACAAAGGTGATGGGATTTGATGGTTTAAGTAAACTATCTAAACATAGGAATGTGCACACTCATGATGAACCTTGGTTTGAATTATAGAAATATAAGACATTGCATAAATTAAGTCAGTGGTCCTCAAAGTTCCAGAATGCCACCTGTATAGCAGTAAGAACCTTTCTTAACCATCTCCATCTTTTGCTGCTAGCTCGACTCTATCTGTACACAGAGCTTTCCTAGTACAACTGTGTCCCTTCGTTTTTTGTGTGGACAATCCCAAGTCTTCCATTCTGCCTCGACCACGACTGCCTTTATTCTGTGAAAACTCTTAAAGGTCTTCCAAGGTGCAGAGAGGTGTTGGGAAACTCTCCACACCCTGACTGTCCTTCTTGGTTAACACACACACACATATATACTACTCTGATCAAAAAGTTTCAACACTTAGCTCATAAAATCCTGAAAACTCAATATATTTTCTCCCGGTTTGTGGCAAACGCAAGCGTCGCCCTTAGCTTGGAGACATGCCAATTTTCAAGAATCACGCGCCACAACAGCGTGAGCAGTGGCTGTTCTAAGTGAAGCCATTTTGCCCATGCTTCAATTTCATTAGTCACCGAAATGGAGGATCAACGAATTTGCATCAAGTTCTTTGACTGTAACACTAATGGATTTTAAAAGAAAGCCAATTTAATATGATGATATATTATTTGCACATATATATATATGGAATATGACAAGAAGATTTTTAAACTTGGGGATAAAAATAAGTTTTTTTAAATTATATATCTGAGCCAAAACTAAAGAATATGCAGTATAAGAAATTAAACTATTTTTTGAAATCTATTTTCTACTACCCTTACACTGCAATGGTAAATTTGGACCTGGCTCATCAGTGGTGAACCCTCCAAGTGGTTTCACCAGTGTAATCTACCATACTGCTGTAATATTGCACTACACTGCTTTGATTTTATACCGATAAGGGCAGTAAAAAATTATTTTATTTTTAAAAGAAACTTATGAATAAAAATAGTGCAACTACCAGATGGCATGCTAATACATCATCTTAAAGAATGCAGTGATAAATTGATCAATTATGTGAAAATTGAGGACAATGCTTGTGCTTGTTTAAAAGCCCTATTTTTGTGCTGATTCTTTTTATCAACACAAAAATAGGGCTTTTAAACAAGCACAAGCATTGTCCTCAATTTTCACATAATTGATTAATTCATCACTGTATTCTTCAATATGATGTATTAGCAGGCCATCTGTAAGTGTAATAAAAAGGTTGCCATGATTAACCTTTGGTGCTAATTTCTAATATTGCTGTAATGTGCAATTGCTTGATTCAAGTTGAAGGAGTGACCAATCATATAGGTGTGTTGGAATATTAATGTTCAGTCAGACCTATGAATCTTCTTGCCTCTCCTACATAGGTGTCACTGCATTTTGAATCCTAGGTGGAGTAGATTCATAGTTTGGGGGTCGCTGTAGGATAGTCAAAACCATTGGTTTTCGACCGCAATGATCCAGGTTCGATTCCTGCATTGGGCACTTTTTTCTGATTAAAAAAATGCTCCAATGGCCCCCAATTCTTGCAAAAGTCCAACCCCACCAGCGAGTTCAAGTAACCAAAATGGGAATCTGGCACATTTGTAAATACAAAGTCGAACTGCTTTTCACATGTGTAGATATGTGGTGCACTTACAGTAAAAGCAGTCGCCAACTTCTACCCACCATAATTATCATAGCCCGTACCACATGTACTAGGGATAAGCAAAAATATATATATATATTCATAATTTTTTAAAATCTCATTGAATCATTATACAAGGTCATGGAGAGTGAATTCATGGATTGAATTTATAATCTTGTTAAGGTTGGAATACAAGTCCTGTCTTGAGGCTCCCATACATCCCAAGAGGTGGTCTGGTGAGACCTCTTTGGTCCTGTAGATGGTGCATTATGGGAAAATATTGACACCATCCCGGAAAAGTGGTCTTGTGTGGCTATCAGTTTTGAGCCTAGAAATACAGGTTGCTGCTTGTCTGTTCATCCCAATTTACAGAATAGCTCCGGGTTTAGGTACCAATGATGGAATGTTGACTCCTGTATTTTTTCTTTGTAGGCATTTGAAGGAGTTGAAATCAACGTCTAAGTTAGGCATTGCTGCTTGTTTCCCATCAATTCTAAGTGGGATGTGATTCACTGGAAGGTGATTTGTGTTTCTATGTGAAATTTTGTCTAAATTCAGAGCAATTTGTTTTCAAGGACATTATAGAGCTGGTGTGACAATACTTTATGGCTTGTAGAGTTGACAAAGTATGAAAAAGACAAGTCTATACGGATCCTCATTTTCAATGTATTATAGACTAAGTTGATAGCAACCAGTTCAGCATTTAACCCAAAGCTCCCAAATTTGTTGGTGACCTTGAGTTCCTGACTTTGGTTTCTGTTCTGTATGAGCACACCACTCCCATCTAACAACCCAGAGCCTTTAGTGTATATTTTTATATAGTTTGTTCCATATTGATTTACTCTTTCAAGTGCTAGGAACTTGGGTATATGTAGATTTTTTTTTGTAAAGACCATTTCCTAGGTCAATATTAAAGATTTCTTTGCGTTTGTGATTTGGTAGAAGGGCGGGTGGTTTGTAGTTTTGTTTAGAAAATTTATTGGGATTTTGTTTTCCAGAATTGTAAGTTACTCAAAAGCAGCATTACTCCTCCAAAACAACTGATTGTTCACATTGGTGATTTGCACGTGGTTAGGTAAAGTAATCAATCCATTAAAATATCAACATAGCGCTCTTTATTGCCGAAAAATCTTATTACTTTGTGTTTCTAATCTATATTTCAAATTGAACCTCATTGATTTCAACTACAATGAATTATTTCCAGCCCAAATTCATGATCTATTAAAGGGTAAAATTTCAATAACACCAATCAGCGTACAAAAAAGATAAAAACGTACATTGAAGGTGCACATAATTTTCCAAAGGATCTAATATATAATTTTTATTTTTCATAACCCCACACTGATTTCAGATTCAGTAGAGCCTCTATGAGAGGAAACCTCTACAAAGGAGTTTCCAAATGGCAAAATTGCCATTTTTACTAATTAGCAACTTACTTGTAACAGAAAACCTATCTCAATCCTATATTAAACAGACATGGACTATGAAATTAGGTGTTCTTTACAGAGAGGTTCTACTGTATTAAATAACTATCTTTAGTTTTCATAATCTTCATACATTTATTATTTTATTATTCATATGGTTGATAGCTTATTTACTTTAAGATTTGATTAATTTTGGAAATTATTTTTTTTACAACTGTAATGATAATAAATTAATGATTCATTTACGGACTATAATTGTTATATATTTGGTCCTTCTATGATTATAAAATTATTTCGGCACAAAATATTAACTTATCATCATCTTGTTTACAATACACCTATCCCCCGATTTACACGGTAATGCGGGAAATTTTGGAGGGAAATGATGGCAATTTACCAAATAGGTTTAATTAAAATAAAAAACTAAAACATTTTAATTTGAATAAAAATATATATATATATATATCTCTATATATATAAAAGTCAATGTCTGTCTGTTTCGCGATAAACTCAAAAACTACTGAACCAATTGGTACCAAATTTTGCATGTCGCTTTTTATAAACCTGAGGAAAATTTTCGGCTACATTTTGATTAGTATTTTTTGGCTATTTATTTTTTTCATTTGAAGAACTTTTTTTTATGCGGAGTAATCCGGAATGGAAAGAATACCCAAATATGGCCATTTTTTATAAGCATCGGTGGTTCAGTGATAGAATGCTCGCCTGCCACGCGGGCGGCCCCGGTTCGATTCCCTGCTGTTGCATTTTTTTAAAACGATTTTTAAAACTCATTTATATTATATATAATATAAATATATATTATTATATCAACTATATTAATTAAATCAAATACCTAAACACTAATATAATACAATTTTTGCCATCACACACTTTTTTCCTGTAGTTTATGTGTTACTACTGTATTGCTATTCTATGGCACTTCTAATATTTATTATTGATGTACTTTCAGTATGAAGGAAATTGCAATCGGGGGAATTCTCGGGCGAAGCCGGGTCATACGTCTAGTTATAATTTAAATATTTAAAAATAAATAAAAGTTTTTAATCTTCCCTCCAAAATTTCCTGCATTTTTCCCTCTGAATTTTACTTTAATCACAGCCAAAAATTAACATAAATAAAAAAAAAATTATAGGCTTATAATGAAGAAAGAAGTTAAAAGTTATTTCTTTAGAAACTAAAATCGAAATTTTGGATCACTTACGAAAGAGAGATAGAGTAGTAGATGTTGCAAAATCATAGAGTATGAACGAAGCTACAATAAGAACTATTGGAACAAATGAAAACACAATTAGAAAGAGTGTTGCAGCTGGCAATACGAGAATGGGCACAACATCATACACCAGAAATATCGCAATGGAAAAAATGGAGCAAGCGTTAATGCTTTGGATAGAAGATCAAACACAAAAAAGAGTACCCATTGATACGGGCGCTGTAACAAATAAAGCATTACGAATTTACAAAAAAATTGTAGAGCAATTGCCATCTTCAACTGAAAAGAAGCCAAATTTTTTGGCAAGTCATGGCTGGTTTGAAAGATTTAAAATAAAACATTCTTTACACAGCTTAAAATTAAAAGGTGAACTGGCTTCTGGCCACGTAGATGCAGCCCAAGAATATCCAGCAAATTTTGCAGAAATTATTAACGACAATTCATACACCCCTTATCAGGTTTTCAATGCTGATGAGTCAGGGTTCTGGAAAAAAATGCCTGAAAGGACTTATGTCTCGAAATTTTATAAATCTGCTAGTGGTCATAAAGCAGCAAAAGATCGAATAACAATTCTTTTCTGTAGCAATGCTTCAGGAGATTATATTATGAAACCATTAGTGATTAACAAATCAAAAATGCCCCGTGCCTTTAAAGGAGTAAACATCAATAATCTTCCGTTTATTGGAGGGCTAATAAGAAAGCGTGGGTTACTGCTGCAATGTTTACTGAATGGTTTCATGAATGTTTTATCCCAGATGCCAAAAAATATTTAAGTTCAAAGGGATTGCCTTTTAAAGTGCTTTTATAATTGACAATGCGCCGGGTCACCCACAAGATCTAGAATATGAGAACGTTAAAGTAACATTTTTACCAAAAAATACAACTTCATTATTACAACCATTGGACCAAGGCATAATTTCTACTTTTAAAGCTTTGTACATAAAACGAGCCTTTACATATATTTTGGAACAAATGGAGAACAATGAATCTTTAACATTTATTAGTGCTTGGAAAAATTTTACAATGTTAGACTGTGTGAAGCATATCGTCTTATCATACACTGCGATTAAGCAAACAACGCTCAATAGCTGTTGGAAAAAATTGTGGCCAAATGTAGTCAAAAATGAACATTCCATTTCAATGTTAAATGAATATTAGCAGAAAGTACAGATGGCGCACAGATGGCGAACGAGAAGGTTTTGATGATTTTACTGATGGTGATATCGCAGAGTTAATGGCTGAAAAAGAACTAAGTGAGGATGATTTAGTTAACTTAGTTTGCGAAAGTGAGTCTGACAAATCTGATGAAGAGGAATTAGTACCAGTTACAGTCACTGCTAAAGTCATCCGCGAAGGACTCACATTGGGAAGAAAGCTGGGTAATCATTTTATGCAAAATGACACAAACGTTGTAGGGGCTTTACGATTCCAACGTGACATAAATCGCTGCTTGGCTCAATATGAAGAAGTTTACAAAGATCTTACAAAAAATTAAAAGCAATTGTTATTAAACGATTTTATTACCATCTCTCATAATGTAAATATTTCTGCTTCAAACATCGAATCGGCCCAAATAACTTCGAGTGATGAAAGTGAATTCAAACTTTCGATTCCGAAAAAAAGAATGAGAGTAATTTCTGACAGTGATGAAGGATAATAAAACTCCTTTGGTTTTATTTTTTGTTCTTCTGTTTATGTATGTATTGTATGTATATAAAAAACAGTGTTTCCGTAATATATTACATGTTTTAACCTGTCAATGCATTTTATTTTTATTTCTGTGTACACCTAAAAATATTGAAAAATCACAACTGTTAAATAGCAAAATTATGCATTTTCTGCAAGCTTTTCGATTTACACGGTTTTGACTTGAAAAATTTTTAATTTTCGATTTACACGTTTTTCTAAGGAACGTATCTAACGTGTAAATTGGGGGATAGGTGTATTTTATTCCCTTTTAACTAAATTTTAAAACTAAGTACTTGTTACTAATAATTAATATTTAATAGTCCCAAAATTTTTCAATCTAAAATATCACATTTGGCGAAAAAAATAAAAGTACGTAGATTACACAAAATGACTAGCGCAACAAATGCCTCTTTGCTGAATTTTTATCAAGAAGACAATTACAAAGTTTTGTTCAATGCATACGTTCAGTGTTTTTATAAATAAAACGCCTGAGGTAAATATACTACAATACTTTTAATCCTTGAGTGTCGGCCTTGATACATCGCAAAAAATAGATCTATTTACAGTTAATCTCATTAATTCAACACCCCAAGGGATCACAGCTTTCGGTGGGAGAACCCCAGATTCTTGGCCCAATTATAATCTATAATTTTTAATAATACAGTAATGGAAGTAAAGTTTATATTTTTAAATTCATTTTTCCCAATATTTTTTATTAATTTACTCTTTTCTACATTTTATTTTGTTTTGTAATGAATCATGATGTGTTTAAACCAGATGAGCCTGATTCTTCAATCCAGAAACAACCAACTACATTTAAAGAAACAGTAGTGCCTCTTCAGTTTCCAACAGTGCATCACAGCTGCAGCTGGACTATTTCAAGTTGTATCCACATGCAATAGGATAAAAGCTATTGAGAATATATTTTTGCCTTTATAACATCCCTTAACAAATTTATACAGCAAAGGTTTAGAAAAAAAAAGAAATATATTTTTTCTCATCTATTTCAAAGATTTATTTTCCCCTTTAAAAATTTTCAATATCACTCAAATCTAGAAAAGGATAAAATATATTTGTATTCTCAAAATAACTATAAATTAATGAATGCAATGTCACAAAATGAATCACTGCAGACCTACAGAAATAGCAACTTACTGTGACTAGAGCTAACAATTATTGTCATTTAAAAAGCACAAAGCTGTACTCATCCAGGAGAAAAATCTTAGAGCCGCTCTTACTGTGACTATAGAATAAGCCAAGCTTATTAAATAAAAAGCATTAATTTATATATACAAGAAAAAATTTTCAACTATAGTTCTCACTTTGTATATAGAACAAGCAGCAACTTGCATTTAAAAATGCACGAATCTGTACATACAGAAGAAAAACCTTATTCCTGCCCTCATTGTGACTATAGGGCAAAACGGTCATATAGTTTAAAACTACACCAATTAACACATACAGGAGAAAAAACCCTGCCCTGCCCTCATTGTGACTATAGAACAATAACTGCAGGAAAATTAAAAAAACACCTATATATACATACAGGAGAAAAACCTTACTCCTGTTCTCACTGTGACTATAAAACAAGCAGAACTTATCATCTAAAAACACACCAATATAAACATACAGGAGAAAAACCATACACCTGCCTTTATTGTAGCTATAGTTCAGTGACTGCAAATATATTAAAAATACACCAATTAACACATACAGGAGAAAAACCGTATTCCTGCCCACACTGTGACTACAGTACAACAACTGCAAGTAAATTAAAAATACACCAATTAAAACATACAGGAGAAAAACCATATTCCTGCCCACACTGTGACTACAGTACAATAACTGCAAGTAAATTAAAAATACACCAATTAAAACATACAGAAGAGAAACCCTTTTCCTGCCCTTATTGTGAATTTAGCACAAAAACTAAAAGCCTATTAAAAGGACATCAATTCATACATACAGGTGAAAAACCATACACATGTTCTTACTGTGATTATAAAACAAATAGACCTATTAATCTAAAAAAACATTTAAACACTCATATAGTAGAAAGACCTCACTCTTGCCCTCACTGTGACTATAGGACTGCAAGTACAAGTCATTTAAAAAGACATCAAATTAAACACAGCAAAAAAACCTAACTCATGCCCTCAATGTGACTTTAGGACAAACACCCATTACAGTAAAACTCCATTTAGATGACACCTCTCTACAAAAGACAGTTTTCAATTGCAAAATTACCATTTTTACAATTTAGCAACTTATAAAACTATTTTAGAGGCGTAATATTCTTTTTAAAATAAAACAATTTCTACTGTCCTTACTGCGATGGAAAAATTAAAGGGAGGGCCTGGCTCATCAGTGGTGAACCCTCCCAGCGGTTTCGCCAGTTTAATCTACCATACCGCTGTTATATTACATTTTTGGAACTTCCTTTTATAGGTGACTGTTGTAAGACTCTTGGAATGGGTATTTTAGAAGAACTATGGACATAAGCTTTTAGGACAGCAGAATTAAATATAATTATAAATATATAATATGCTTCGAGCAATCGCTCTTCCGCAAATATCAAATTGTGTCTTTTATTAGAACAATAATGTTACGATGTACTAGAGCACCATCTGTTATCAAATTATAAAACTATTTTAGAGGCGTAATATTCTTTTTAAAATAAAACAATTTCTACTGTCCTTACTGCGATGGAAAAATTAAAGGGAGGGCCTGGCTCATCAGTGGTGAACCCTCCCAGCGGTTTCGCCAGTTTAATCTACCATACCGCTGTTATATTACATTTTTGGAACTTCCTTTTATAGGTGACTGTTGTAAGACTCTTGGAAT